TTAATGTTTTATTACCTGGTTTCTCTGATATATGGGCCCATTTTTACAGTTCACATTTGCTCCGCTGAAATTGCTTGGCCAGAGGCCATGAATTGTAAAAACTTGTTTGATTGGTTTTCTGCACCACGTGTATGGGCTTCTACAAAAACCAGGTTGCCATTGTACCACGTATTGCAGATACTCATATGGTTTGGAATTTGTTGCAGAGAACCGTAAACAAATAATAAGAAAGAACATCCATATTCGCGTTGCAGGCTGATTCAAACCCTTCGGAGATTCCATCTTTCTACCGGCCGGATTCAGATCTAACAGAGAAGGACTAAAATCTTAAAGATCCAAAAGGTCAATAAACCCTAATGAACCACCACTATTCTCCCCTTCCCTCAAATCAAACACCTCTTGGTAAGAACTCGAGATATAATCAAGAAATGATGAAGATCCCATCAACTACTCCATCTTTATCTCTTTCTTTCCCTCCATAGATGACTCAAACCCACCAGTTCTTCATCAAAATCCAACTTGATGCAAGAAAAAGAGAAAAGGTTTTATGAGAGAGAAGGAGGAAGAGACAATATTGAGGAGGGTTTTTTGGAAGTGATGAGAGAGAAGGAAGAACAAACAATACTGAGGAGGACATCAAAATTCTGGCCGGTGTACCCTATTCAAATTAAAAAAAAAAAAATTCTCCCCTTTTTTGGTGGCTGTTGAACCCCTTCTTTGATCTACTTCGTCTTCTCCCCTACCCTTTTCTGGTGGTTGCCGAACCCGAAAAAAAAAAAAAAAAAAAAGATCCTTACCTTTTCCGGTGGCTACTGAACCCCTTGCTTTGGGTCTGCTTCGTCTTCTCCCCTTTTTTAGTGGCTGTCAAACCCTTCTGCTTTGGTGATTACCGGTGATGAAGGTGGAGGCTGTGATGATGTTGAGATGCAAGCAGATTGTCAAGATCGGAGTTCCCAAGGGGGCTTGCAGCTAGATCTGCTTCGTCTTCTCTGGTTTCTTCTTTTTTTTTCTTTCTTTTTTTTTTATGATTGCTTGGTGATTGGTGAGGGTGAGGGTGATTGGTGAGGGTGATGGCGATGAAAGTGATGCTCAGCAAGGGGATGGTGAAGATCCAAGGTGAAAGAACGGAGGTGATGGTGGCGATGGTGGATCTGCAGAAGGGAGAAAAATCACTTT